TTGTGAGCTGGACATTGACCTATATCTGATAAGATAGCAATGGCAAATACTCAACAAATGTGCCGTAACTGCCCCACCTGGGGGTCATGGCAGGCATCAATAATCACTTATGGTGGAATTTTCCTGATGACCCAAAGCAGAGCAACAGTAACATCTTGGCCAGGGCAGCTTTTCTGCATTTCTACAGAGCCATGCCTCCAGGATGATGGTCCCTTTGATATTGTTTGGCCTTTCCCTCAAAACCAGGTCCTCCTGCAATCTTAGCTAACCTTAGTAAGTTGATCCAGACATCTGCTCAAGACTGCAAACTAGAACCCTGGTGACATCCTTGAAAAACCCACCAATATCTAACCAACCAACAAATCCTATAGACTCTAATGCCTAGAATTGCTTCTCTTTGGGTTCATCATTACGGACCTGGGACATCTTTGGTCTCAACTATTTCAGCAGCTTTGGAAATGCCCCCTAAGCTCTGTTGCCTGTTAAAACAGGTCATGTCAGTGGCTCAGTAACGGGCCACATAAATGGTGTGATCTAGTCTTTCCCTTCCTTTGCAACATCAGCCCTGCTCATTCTCCTCTCCACCCCTACAATACATTGCCACTTCATTGACTTTCTTTCAGTTCTTGGAAACATCCAGCTCTCGGCCTCGCTTAAGGCCTTCACACACGTTTTGTTGTCTGCCTCTAAGTCTGTTGCCCATGACCCTCATGACTAAGACCTGATTCTTCAGGTCACAGCCAAACTGCTACCTCCTCAGAGAGCTCTTCCTGGATCATTCACTTATCCACCTTCTTCTCTGTCAAACTGGTGTGCCTGTTTCTCTGAGCTTACACTTTCTCTGAAGACTTAGGACTCATTGGGAATTTGACACACATGGAAGCTGCAACTTTCAGTTAAAGAAAGGAAACATCCACGAAAATAGTACCACGGTCAATTCTAGCAATTACCTAGAATTTTACAATGTTAAGTTGTTTTTTGCTTTTATGCCCCTTCTCTTACCTAATGTTTTGTAAGCTCTACTAGGATTAAGGACAATGTCTTGTCAGTGCTAGAGAAAAAAAGACAAAAACCCCCCAATATCCATTCTTCCTTTGTGGTGAGAAATTCTAAACCATATACTTACATTTACCTTGACCTAATAACTCCCTTTTCCAGGAAATCCATGTATATGCAGAACGAACCCCCATACACAAGGGTAGGCCAGATAGCTGTGTTTGAACCACGGGGTTCTGTCCATCCTCATGGTCTGAGCTTGATAGTTGCCATCCATTGTCTTATCCAAGATACCCTGAGAGCAGGGATCCCCCTGGGCTTGCCCATTTTCAAATGCAACAGCTGAGATTAGTGGCTGTTTTAAATATGTGGAAGGACAGGGCCAGGAAGTGACCCAGGCATCCAAGGTTTGCTTTTTGGGTGGCCTGGGTTTGGTTTAGGCTCCAGGAATCTAATCAGGGGACACCCAGAAAGATGAAACTATATCCCTGAATGCCTATTTATTCAATAATCCTAAAATAATTTCTAATAAAATTAGAAACAAAGGGCAATTGTGAAGGGTCTTTGTCTGTCTGCCCCTCTCCTCGGACAACCTCCAGGGGCAGTTTTCAGAGCTTTGGATGAGGTTTGGCCCCTGTAAATCCCATTGTTTGTGGTTCCATTGGGAGAGTGAGTTTCTTCCTCCTACCCCCATGCAACTCTTTGAAAATGGCATTCAAAGAAGGGTGTTCCTTGCTGAGGAACTCTGCCCTTAGGGGAAAGTTCCAGATGACAGGTCATAAATTTAGAAGGCCCTGGTCTCATAAGGTACTCTGAATGATTTCAGTAAAGTGCAGAAGGATGTGGTGGTTTTAAAACTGTTCTGCCAGAGGTTTCAGAAAGGAGAGGTCTGTATGGGAATACAGGCCAATTTACTTCCTAAAACACAAATTTTCTGGTCACCCAAGTCACACACCTTTTTGCAACAATAAAGAGGATATTTACCTACCTACTTGACAGGTAGGCAAACTGAGTCCAGGGGTTGCTGAATGCAATGTCAGAAGAGTACCTTGTAGGGGAGATGCCCAATAGGCCAGGCTCCATGTACCCTAATATCTTTTCTTTCTCTTCATGCTTAGAATCTGAGCTTGACATCAGAGGTACTCAGCCGAACAAATGGAGACCTCTTGACTTAGGTGGAATAGATATATTCAGGGTGACAGCCAATTGAGTTATGGCCACCATAACAGAGGGAAATAGTGAGACAGCTCAGATACTTTGGATAATTTGCATGAATCCTGCTCTAATTGACATTTGCATCCATCAGTTCAAGATTTAAGGTAGAGACATTATTTGACCTCCTTTTGGGTCTGGTGGAGAGACACAGGAATGGCTCAAATCTTCTTACTTGTTAAACTTTCTTCTTTGTGCCTCACTCTATCTGTAGCATTCTGGATGGCATCTGATGCATAGTAAACACTCATTAAATACAGTCATTCCTTGTATCCATGGGAGATTGGTTCCAGGACCTGCCCTGGATACCCAAGTCCATGGATGCTGAAGTCCCACAGTCGGCCCTCTGCATCCATGGGTCTGAATCTGTGGATACGGAGAGCCATGTGTATTTGTTAAATTGCTATTAATGAGTATACCACTCCACTTTGGCCTTAGCCATTCTCTGACTTTCTGGGATTCTAATCATAGTTCTAAAATAGGTTATTTTTTCTTAAGCAATAAGTCAACCATCATTTCTAGCATTGAAGGAAAATGTTATGTGAGACCACCCTTGGTCCCAACCTCAAGATGTCCCTTGGTCTCTCAGAGGTGCATCACGCAGAGACTGGACATCACAAGCTTCCCCCACACCAGATCTAAAGGATGACGGTACAAACAGCTGAGAATACAACCCATGGACCAGAGCCCAGTGAAGTCACTACTTTGGGGGCCCAGAACTGTCATCACTGCGCTAGCAAGTCCACGCTTCTGGACACTTGTGCGGATTCTGCACACCTGCAGCATCTGGCTCATGGCTGAGAGCTTTGACTGCAACAGACCAGATTCAAATCCAGCTTGACCTTGGGACTATGGGCAGTATACTGAACTCTGAGGCTCAGTTTCTTTGACTGTGAAATGGGAGAGGCTATAACTACCTCAGGATGTAGCAGACAGCAAACTTGGATGCACATACAGATCGCCTCGAGTCTGACCCAAGTTCAGAATCTGTAAGTCTGGGATAAGGCCTGAGAGCCTGCATTTCTAACAAGCTACAAGGTGGTATGGACGCTGCTGTCTGTGGACCACACTCAGAGTAGCAATGTCACAGAGATAATAGTAGAAATAAAAGGTGATTATTAACATTAAAAGCATTATTTAAAAATTATTAATAATTATTATCAAGAGGAACATTTCGATTAAAACTCACGAAATTGCCACCAGCCAGGTTTGAATTAGACTGTTTCTGGCCCTGAATCCTTTTAGGCAAGTTTTGTGATTACATCTGAAACCTCCTTCAGACCCTCCTCATAAGCCCTAATGTAACTACAGAAGTCAAGGGCACAGTGAGAAGATATTTTATTACCGATGTATTTATATATGGGTTTTTGGGGTTTTAAAACTGGCAATTAAAACCTTGTAAATTTGTATTATCAACAAAATAAATGTAGACGGGTTAGTTACTCATTGCTAATAAATTTGATCATTCATTTATAAAACGAGTGTTCGCCCAAGAATCACAGAGCACTCTATAAATATCGCTTCACTAAGCCACAAACCACCTCAACAAGGAAGGCACACAGCACCCCTGAGGAGTTAAACAAACCCTCGAGGGCCTGGGGGATGGGAGGACAGCCTGAATTCCAGCGCTCTCGTCCCCTTCCCGCACTCGGGTTCAGCTCCTGTCCCGCAGGGACCGACTCTTTGAAGCATGATATCCGTTTGGAAGCATTTCAAATCAGCCTGCCTGGAGGCCCCATCCCCAGATAGCCCTAGGAACCTGTCTGTGTGAGTCAGGAAGAGCCATATTTCTCTCATTTGAGAGGCTGAGCAGGATTTGCTTCCCTGCTTCCTGTTTCTCTATCATGTCCTCTGGGCAGTTCGGCTACACGGAAAGAAGGAACTGTCAAACCAACTGGCCCAGCTACGGAACTCAAGCGTGGAATATGTAAAACAAAATTGCTTTAGCCCAAGTTTCCAATCCAATACGCCCTTGTCCAGCCTTCTCCACTGAGGGTCTTCTTCACTTCTCCCCATCAAAGAACTCGGTAAGCTCTCCTGTCATCTTGCCCCAGTGCCCTGGGTGGAGCAGGGCTTTGATGTCTGGCATTGCTGGGTGTGAATTCCAGCCCCACGACTGTCTGGGACCAGGGATCTCATGTTCTTTACCTGTGAATTGGGTCCTTACAGCCCAGGTCACCTGGTGGCTGTGAGGAAGTTCTGAGATGATGTGTGGGAAACCCTGGGCTTGGGTAGGCCCCTGTTAGTGGAATTTATCACCGTTAGTGATGGTAGAGGCATTTGTGACGTTGGTCAAGATGCTGCACCAGCAGCAGAATCTCCAGCCAGATTGTGACTCTTAGAAACCCTAAGCAATAAAAAGGATATGGTGTTCTGTTGACCCGGTACGCACACACATACACACACGCACATGCCCATATACACCTTCATATCCACATCCATCCACTCACACGTGCGTACACACCCACACATCCCAGCTCACACACATAACTCACTCGTGCACTCCTTCCACCCATGGTCACAGATGCCCGCACACCCACACACACGCACACGTAGCATACAGAACAAACTCATTGTCCCCAAACGTAGATCATGCTGAAATTTAAATACCATTTCCTGATGTCAATATTCTGGATAAGTATATAAAAACGGACCTCTATCTGCTTCTGTTTCTTTTATGGAGGGAAGAGGACTTCTCTGCTGGTGCCCTCAGCAGACTGTAGGCTGCCTGGTGGGTCTTCTAGCCCTGCCAGATATCACATCTTACTCCCTGTTCCCAAATTCTCCACCAGGCCACTTTTCTGCAATACCTGCCTGCTGCCTGTCTCCAGACTGGCTGATGTCACTACTCTGTCTGCTGGTAAGAAGAACCCAAACCTCTGGGCCCACGAAGACTGACTGTGAGAAGCCCAGTACTCACCCCGCTGCTCCTGCTCCATCTTCATCTGTGCTCCTGGAACACGCACATGCCCCTCTGCCTGGAGCACCCACAAGACCTCACAGATTGCAGGTTAGAGGCTTATGATCATTCACAATCTCTCCAGTTACCTTCCGGTTTCTTTCTAACTAGTGGCTGGATCTATGTTCTCTCTCTAGATTCACTCTCTGAAAGAGCAGGACTCATGCTTACTGAGTGAGCTTTATTCCTGTCTTATGTTAGGGTAGAAATTTAATGAGAACTTGAGATAGTCTTCTTCATCACTGCGTTTAGAGGATCAACATAGAGGACCATACAGTTTTTGAGCAAGGAGTCAAAGGCAGAAAACATGTAAGACATTAGGCTTGCTAAGACATGTCCGCAGATGGGAGAGGATCTGGAGAGCTGTTTAGCATATCTATAGAAGGGCTTCTTGTCTGCCCTGAGCTTAGAATGAACCGTAGCCACTGAAGGCTCTAAGACAGTCATTGATCCACCTACCTGACATGTGAAGGTTCTCCTCTGACAGGACAAATGTCTGTGATCAGAGATGCTACCTGTCATTTTATCTGTCTGAGCCTGGCTGACTTGTGACCAACCTGTACCAGCCATCCAACCAAAAGGAGAGACCAGATGATTATTGAAAATGGGTGTGCTAGGATTACATTTTCAGTTAATGTCTTAAAAAGAGTTACTAACAACTCCAGATGCACATTGAATTTCCTTTTTTCTTTTTTTTTAACATTTTTATTGATTTATAATCATTTTACAATGTTGTGTCAAATTCCAGTGTGAATTTCTTAATGGGAGCCATGATCGATACCTTTAGCTTGCAAGAATAAACGTTGCTTACCAACATATGTTATAAAGTGAACCTCAATGAAGTATTTTGTATTTTTCCTTTTCACTTCCACTACAACAGTTATCCAAAAGCTTTTTATATCTGTGAGTATTTGTAAGTATGGTTTAAAAAAACAGTATGTTTTCTTTGTTTAGTTCAAACAATATTGGTCAGTGTTTTCCGTTTCTGCCTTTTCAACTCTAGAGCTTGGCTCACACCATTGCTTTAATCTAGAATAATATCCTTCCTACATATGCCCCAATCTGTTTCATTCTTTGAGGCACATATGAAGGCTCTCAACCTTTAAGGCTCAAATTCCTTATTCTCTAGTTTTGATCTATTTCTCTACTGGAAGTCAGTTCTGCACACTTTCACACAAGAAACAGTAAATTTCAGGTGTTGGTTCATTTAGTTTTCAAAATCAGGGCATCTTGGCAAGTCAGGCTTGCATTCTTTTTTTTTTAACAGTTTGATTGAAATGTAATTCACAAACCATAAGATTCACTCTTTTTAAATGAATAATTCAGTAGTTTTTAGTCTATTAACAGTTGTCCAACCATCATCATAATCTAATTTTAGAAGATTTCCATTATCCCACAAAGAAATGCCCTACACTGTACACATTAGTAGTCACGCCCATCCCACCCATCCCCAAACTCCTGGCAACCACTAATCAACTTTCAGCCTCTATGGATTTGCCTATTCTGGACACTTAATATACATATAATTGTACAATATGCAGCCTTTTGTGATTGGATTCCTTTACTTGGAATATTTTCAAATCCATCCACTTTGTAGCATCTATCAGTACTTCACTCCTTTTTATCTATTGTATGGATATACCTCCTTTTGTTTATCCATTCATCAGTTGTTGGACATTTGGGTTGTATGAATAATGCTGCTGTGAATACTCACGTATGAGTTTTAGCACGGTCGTTCATATATTCCCATTTCTCTTGGGCAGATACAGGAGTGGAATTTCTGGGTCATCTGTTAACTCTATGTTTAACACTTGTAGGAACTGCCAAACCGTTTTCCAAAATGGCTGCACCATTTTACAGTCCCACCTGCAATCTAAAAAGGTTTCAACTTCTCTGTATCCTGGCCAGCACTTGTCATTGTCTATCTTTTTGACTTTGGAGTTTGCACCCTTAGTCTGAAGCTTTAACTCAGAAAATAAATTGGAGGGAAAGAAGGGTATCTGGAACAGTGAGAGCACTCTGGAAGGAAGATGCTGCTGTGCCTGAGAGCAAGGAAGCAAGTGCCTTGTGGTCTCCTTCTTGGCTCCATGATTTGCAAATGGTGCCCCTTTGTTAGATTATTGTCTGACCCTTTGTTGCCTCAAAGGTAAAATGAAGACGGTATTTCCATTATTCATTCAAATGGAGTGAGGCATGTGTTTGTGGACATCGATCCAGAAGCTCATCTGGAATGAGGGCAACGGGCTTTCTAGAAAGCTCATTCTTAACAGTTCTCCCGGAAGTCTTGCAGTTTTGTGGCAGTGTCTCTAGGCCCATCAATAGATGAAAGGGAAATCTTGGTTAATATTTGAAAATATTCCATGTGTGTGATAAGAATGAGTGTCCTCTGTTGAGTACAAAGATTTTATATACACACATATCAAGTGTGTGAAGTGTCTGTCACATCCAGTTTATCTCCACCTATTTATTTTCTGATCTTCTTGGTTGGTTGGTTTCTGAGGAAGTTGTGGACAGTTTCCCACAATGACTGTTTCTTCACCCGTTTTTGTAGTGTCTTTACAGCAGAGATTCCCATCGAGTCCTCTCCCGGGTGTTCTGGTCCATTTCCAAGTCCTCTGAAGCTTAGTGGGGCTTTCCTCACAGCCTGAGAGCAGAATTCTGTGGTGTTAAGACCCAGGAAGCAATTGAGCATTGTTGTTAAGAGTGGAAGCTTCAGAGACTCACAAACCTCAGTCCAAATCTCGGTACTCCTGCTTCCCAGTCTGTGAAATTGGAGAGCTAACTTAAAGTCTCTGAGCCTCAGAGTTTCAGTCCATAAAATGGGAAGATTTAAGAGTTGCTTCCACTCTGGAAGGTTGAGCAAATTCAATGAGATGGTGCATGTAAAGCTCTTATCACAGAGCCAGGATCAGGAAACTGGTAAGGGCTTAGTACATGCCAACTTTTGTTGATAACAATAAACAACATCAACAACAGCAGTAGCTGCTAACCTCCTGGAATGCCTAATACGTTCTGTGCACTAAGCTGAGTGCCTCAGATGCATCGGCTCATTTAATCCCCACAGGAGGCCTATGAGAGCAGTGTGATCACCATCACCATTTTATAGATGAGGCCACCGGGGTACAGAAGGATGAGGCAGCTGGTCCAAGCAGTGGCTATTGAACTGCACTTCCAACCATGGGAGCCTGGGCTCATCTTTTGATTATAAAGTGGGTCATGGAACTTACAAAAAGACATACCACAAAAGGGACTGTTTGTCCCACATCCCTTCCTGTGGCCTCCCAGAAGCGCCCTGCAGCACCAGGCTCCACTCTGGGTGGCTACTGTGGTTCTTCCTTTGTGTCTGAGAAAGAAAGAGCATTCGATAGGATCCAGCTGCCAATCCTCGCAGCCCCACTCGTGTATTTCCAGAGCCGCTCCTGGGTGTGGGACAACAGAGCCCTTATTAGCCCCCTTGTGCTAAGCATAGTTGCAGACATCTGAGAAAAAGCTGGGATGGAAAACCAGGCAAATCTTTAAAATGTGGACAATGAAAAGGCACTGTTGGGACACATTTATGGATAGCATGCTACACTTTCAAAAGCTGACTCTATTGGACATAGCCCCGGTTTCCCACTTCAAGTCCTATTTTAGAAACAAATATACAATACACACATATATTCCCACTGTAAAAAAAAAATAAGCATGATGAATACAATGAGACAATTGCTCATTATTGCCTACCTCCACCCTGAACCCACATCTCTTTCCACTGGTAACCACCATCAATGCATTGGATGTGCACGTTCCCAAGCTTTTTCCTTTGCATTTGAACATATATGTGAATATGTATGCTTATAGACATGTTTTGTTTTGGAAAAATACTCTGTTTCAACACAAATGGTGTTACATTTGCTTACAGAATAGCCGTGTTTGCTTTATTCACTTAACAATAGGTTTGGGAAATGGCTCCAAGTCTGTGCACACACATACCGACATCATTCTTTATTAACTACTGAGGTATTTCCCACGGTGTGGTGCTACCGTAAATTATTAAACCTGTCCTTCTTGATAGACATTTGGGTCATCATGGCTGGCTGACTCTAAGATGGTCCCCAGTGATGTCCGGTATTCATGCTCCAGAGACCCACGTGGCAAGGAACTAAGGGCAGCCTTTTGCCAACAGCCCGCAAGTAATGGAATCCTAACAACAACCATGTGAGTTTGGAAGTAGATGCTTCCCCACTGGCGTCTCGGTTGAGTCTCCAGTCCTGGCCAACATCTTAATTGCAGCTCGTGAGAGACCCTGAAACAGGGGGCCTAGTTAAGCCATGCCTCAGTTCAGAACCACAGAAATAGTAAATGTGTGTTGTTTTAACTGCTACATTTGCAGTAATTTGATATACAGCAATAGATAATTGGTACAGTTGTTAATTGCTTTCTATCCTAAGCATCACTGGAACAAATATTCTTCTGCATGTGATTAGTGGGGTATTCTAGGATCAGTTTTTAAGAGATGCGAGTAAGCAGCATGACCCACCATATGCTACACACTTTAGCGGCTTCTCTGTGCCGTGGTGAGGACGGCCTTCCTCCCCACGTGGCTTGTAAGGACTTTCTGTGTCTGGCCTCTCCTTGATCATCTCACACTGCATTCTCCTGACTTGCTTTCAATGAATTCATCTAACTCTCCATGCACCATCCTGCTCCTTTTTGCTGGAATACTTTCCCTGTCTCACCTGCTTAATTCCTCTTCACCCTTCTTGTGGCTGCATCCTCAGAGAAGCATCTCCTGACTTCCTTGATGACGTCAAATCCCGCCACTGCACTCCTCCAGTTTTTTAAATAGCATTTACCATATTTGTGCCATTTCATTTATATTTTGTGATATTTTCAATGAATGTCAGTCTCCCCGAATCTAATCTCATAACAGTGGGGCTGATACTCAGTGCGTATTAGTTGAAATGAATATGCCGTAGGATTGGTGTCAGGGTGAGATGAGATAACGCCGTGTGAGGGAGGGCTTTTTGAGTGTAGTTCTAGCACTCTGCTTATCATTTCCTGTGGCGGGT